GGCCCGCGCCCCCGCGGGCCCAGCCCGCCTCCTCCGCCGTGCTCCCCGCCGTCTCGCCTACAGGGGGAACGTTGTCGGGCTTTCGAGGCTCGAGGGCTACTCGGGCCAGACGAAAGGGGGGGAACAGGGGAAGGGGGGGTTAGGAAATCTGCTGCATGCAGCTGGTTTCGGCCCCACCGAGGGGCCCATTCCTCGATATATAGCCGCCTCCGGCGCCGGGAGGCGCCGGGAAAACCAGCCCCGTGAGCTGATTCTCACCCCCCCCTTTGCTACTCCCCCTTTTGCCCGACCCTAGCTTCGGCCGTGCTCGGGGCTCCGCGGCGGGCTGCCCGCCTCGAGGTGCTCTCCAGCAGCTGCGCCTCGCCGCGAGCGCTCCCGGCGTGCCCGGGATCGTGTCTCGGAGGGCCGCCGGAGGGCGGAGTTGTGACCCGATGTCAGATGGGGATATAGCTCTCGTGGAAGCCCGTGCCAAGAAGCACCCTGCTTACCTTCAGGGTGCCCTGGGCTTCTTGGATTTCGGTATCGTTTTGCAACGGGGAGCGTGGCGCTCCCACACCAACGATCGACGGGGCGCCCTGGGGTCTCGAGGTTGGGTTTCTCGTGGAAGGTTTCTTGTGGTCGAGCTCCTACTGCACCCGAACGGAACCTTAGAGTATCGTATCTGCTTCCGTTCCGTCTAATCTTCTCCCCTTGCCGCTGCCATTTTGGTTTGGGGGCGCGGAGGTTGGCCGACCTCCGCGCCCGCGCTGTTCCCGTTTTGTTATACGCACCGTGCTATGCTTCGCTTACGCTGTCCTCTCGCCTTGCGGTCCGCCTGGAGCGCCCGGCCCTCCTTCGGTAGCTTCTCATGGGAGCCTCGTGTGTCCTCCTCGGAGTTCCGCCGTCGGAGTGCATTCGCGTGCGCTCGCGTTTTTTTGTAATCGATGAGACAGCGCCGATTTAGCCTCGGTTAGCGTCGTCTAGCGTCGATCAGCGTCGGCTAGCGTCAGCGTCGGCTCGCGTCAGTTAGCGTCGGTTGGTGCCGATTCGCACAAGCCGGCAAGATGGCATGGGAGGCTCCCATGAGTGGCTGACGAACGCTTCCTCCTCTGTGCTTCCTGTCTGTCTTCTAGCGTTGCGGTCCGCCTGCTGTGCCCAGCCTCTGGCCGCGACCTCTGGCCTGCCGCGTCGTCTCTTCTTCCTCCCGCTCCTGGTGCGATCTGCTTTCCTCCGAGCAGCATGCGGGTCGCTGCGCCGGAAGAGACACACTGCTTGCGGATCCGGACCTCTGGGCATGTTGGAACATCAAGAAGGGCGCTTTTTCGCCGTCTCCCTGAGAAAGGGAAGCGCACCGCCACCGTCTTGGGAGAAACAGGTTAAGCTGATCTGCAGGATGCGCACTAGACGCATTGTCCCTTTGCCCCAGCCTCCTCGTTCGCCCACCTCCCATCCTCCAACTTCCACCTGCAGCAGGAATACAAATCACGTCTGGCCTGACCTGTTCTATTTTTCTGCCTTCGCCTCTGTTTTGATACCAGTTTTCTTTTGGACTGGCGCTTGATATGAAGAGCACGCGGGCGAGCGGCTACTGGTCCGAGACACAATTTCGAGGCAGGTGGGTGTTGGTGTGGTGGGTGTGCAGGACAGCCCCCCGAGAGCGCCTAGAAAGGGTACGAGGGGCGCGACACTCGACATGGGGTGCGCAGAATCATTTTTGCATCAGTGTGTTCGTGAGTGCGTTAAGCAGATGTGTTGAACAACCATGCCTGCGCACGATGGTGTTCTTGAGCACGGTAAGGACGTGCGTTGGACAAACATGATTAAACATATCGACCAGCATATCCAGCTGCCCGCGGCAAATTCCGCCGTCGTGACAGTGCAACAGCGCAGCAGGAAGGTGGCTGAGTGTAGGAGCAGCGCAATTCCGACGAGTGGTCTGATAAGGATGTGTCGTGAGTTGGACCTCGTTTTCGTCCGCGCGGTAGCAAGGAGGTCGAGTTCACAACCAGCGGCAGTTCGGCAAGTGGTCTGAATTGGAGAGGATCGTGAGTCCGACATCGTCTTCGTCCGCGCGGTAGGGAGGAGGAGGAGGAGGAGGAGGAGGAGGAGAGAGAGGAGGAGGAGGAAGGAGGAGGAGGAGGAGGAGGAGGAGGAGAGCAGGAGAGGAGGAGGAGAGGAGGGAGTGAGGAGGAGGGGGAGGAGGGGGAGGGAGGCTGGGGAGGGGGAGAGGGATGGGAGGAGGCGGAGGAAGGAGGAGGAGGAGGAGGAGGAGGGGGAGGAGGGGAGGTGAGGAGGAGAAGGAGGAGGAGGAGGAGGCGGAGGAGGATGAGGATGAGGAGGAGGAAAAGACTAATGAGGACGAGGAGGCAATTTCTTGGGGCCCTCATGAGGCCACCTGGGGGCCTCCTGGGAGCCTCCTGGGGGGCCTCTTGGGGGCCTCTTGGGGCCTCTTGGTGGCCTCTTGGGGCTTCTTGGTGGCTTCTTGGGGCCTCTAGGGCTGTCTGATGAAGGCGATTGGCCC